GAGTTTCCCTGGTGTTGGCCAGAGTGGCCACCAGGGAAAGCTGGGGAGGGCTAGCCTCCCACTAGTTCGAATTAAGGGGCTACACAGCCCTTAATTCGAACTAGTAAGTTCGAACTAGGCTTAGTCCTCGTACAATGAGGTTTACCTAGTTCAAACTAAGCACTCTGCTAGTTCGAATTAAGTTCGAACTAGCGGAGCGCTAGAGTAGCACCTATAAAAGTTAATTCGAACTAACGTCTGTTAGTTCGAATTAACTTTGTAGTGTAGACATACCCTTAGTGAGTGACATTTCTCTAGAATAAGTCAAGTACTGAAAATGACTGGTCACCCTTAAAAACTTAATTGCTTTAAAAATCTTTAATTTCAAATTGGTATGTTCAGTGTCTTGGAAGTAAATATTGGTGTCCTTATATACTTAAGGCAAAATTGGTGAGGTTTTGGACAAGTACTACACATAATGGTCTATACAGTAAGGCTGTGTCTACATTGGCACCCTTTTCCGTAAAAGGGAAGTAGGAATAAGGGATCTTCCGGAAAAGGGTTTATTTTCTGCAAGATCCCGTCTAGACTGGCTCTTTTCTCCGGCAAAACCCCGAGCTGGAAAAAAGCGGCAGCCATCTTTATGCAAATGCCGCGGGGGATATTTAAATCCCCTGCGGCATTTGCAATTCCGACTGGTCTCATTAGCATCCCTTTTACGGAAAAGGGTGCCAATATAGACACAGCCTAAGTGTCCAACATTCATTGAGGAGCCTGATTTTTATCACATATCCAAAGCTTTCTTGGAAGCCAGGAAGGAATTGTCCTTCTGCTGCCTAGATGCTCACCAGGGAGTAGGAGAAATAAGCCTGTCCATGCCTTATTGGCCTGTCTACCAAGCATGGAACATGATTTAGTCTAATAGTTTTAAACACTGAAATTAGTGTAAAGTATTTTACTTTGACTAGAAAACCTTACAGATATGAATTGATCAAATCAGAAGTTAACCGGTGTAACTAATCTTATGCAGAATTGCCACAGGTATTACTGAGAGATGTGTTCTAACACAATGAGAAATTAACATACCCTATGTTATAAATCAGTAAGATTCTTTCTTTCTATGAAACAAATGAGGCTGTTTACTTTAAATAGTACCATAAATATAGGAGGATTAAGGCTTGCATTTAAAATGAAAAATGAATAATCTGATACAATACAATAAAATAGAAGTAGTTATTCATTGTCATCTTGATTAATAAGTAATGGGTAGGGGACATGACTCATTTAAAAGAATTGCAGTTCCAGATTCCTTGTTGAGTACAGACATTCCTACACTTCACTTAGGTTAAAATGAATAAAATGAGGTTTAGTGCAACAAACTTGAGAGGATGATATGAAAGAGGGCTGGATGGTTCAAAAGTTATTTTAATTGTAATGCTACAACCAGTAACATCTATGTCATCTTGTAGCTGTCCACTGCAAAATTAATTGGCCAAATTTAACTGGCGGATGGCACATCTAAATTAGTTGGTACCTTAAAACTAGTGGATCATTACAATAATGTAGTCTGTCCACCTCCACAGAAATTCACCCAGTAATCCTGCAACAAGCCACTAACTTCTTGTTGAGCTACAGTATGTCTTTGCAAGACACCCAGTCTTAATGTAAAGACTTCATTCATGGATTATCTGTCATGTGCCTAATTGTTCCAATGGTTAGTATTATTCACTTTAAAACATTGCCTTATTTTTAATCTGAATTTTGTCTGGCTCTAATTTCCAGACACTGTGTCCTATTGTGATTTTGTTCTGCTAGCTAAAAGAACCCTCTACAGTCAGAAATCTTCTCCCCCATAGGTTCTTGTAAACTGTGATCAAATCACATATTAACCATTTGTTTAAGCTCAATAAATTGAGTGGCTTTCCTCTCACTGAAAGGCAGATTTTCCAAACCTTGAATCATTCTTAAGTTCTCTCTTAAACTTTCTGCAATTTATCAATATTGTGTCTTTTGGACTTGACACAAACTGCAACATGAAAGAAATACGTAGGTACACCAGTCTGTCCAAATAGCTGTGTTTACTGAGTATATATTACATGCATATACATACTAGTGCTCAAGAAGGGTTCTGGAGGTCATGAGGGCTACTGGAGGATTCACTAGAAATATCCCTATAGGATCATCATTCTTTGTTTACAAATCCTTTCCAAGGTTTAATTTAAATCTTAGTGCCACATTTCAATCTAGAAAATGCTAACTTTTATGGGAGTTTTGTGTGATGCCAAGTCAAATGCCTCACAGAAGCTTTACATTTATTTCAGTGATTACCTTTATCAGAAGAACTTATCTTGACAAAATTGATAGATTTTTGATAAACCCTAGTTTTAAGGAGGCATTTTTGCTAATCCCTGTTATCAGTCTGACTGCTTAAGAGAAACAAGACATTTCTGTGATTGTAAATAAAAAGATGTTTGCAATGAAGTAGAAACATTTAATTGTCTTGGGCATTCCACTTTCAGATGGTTTATCTGAAATAACTTTCCTCCATGAAGAAAAGGAGACAAGCTGAACAAATGCAGTCCAGCTGCACCAGAAGCTGAACTGTGGACACATTCTATAGTGAGAGCTCAAGCAGGACAAAGGATAGAATTTTTCAAATGCAAGTAAGTGATTTAGAAGTCTGAGTCTAAAATTTGCTAAAAATTTGGCAATCTGGCCTGTCAAGGGATTTAAGCACCTAAAGCAGTAGGCAGGTGCCTAGTGGGATTTCAGAAGTGCCTATCTGTGTCCCTGGACATCTAAATTCCTATGAAAATCTTTCCGTAAGCCACTTATTTTTTGAAAATTTTACCTAGAACTTCGTGTTACAAAATCACATTACTCTATCCATGGTTGTTGTAATTTAATGGCAGAGAATTATGACTGAATAGGAAAAATACAATGCCAACTATACAGGCGTCTTTTCAGCTTTCCTTGGGACTTCTCCTTATATAATTTGGGGATGAGATGCAGTAATGAAATAAACATCCAGCAGGTAAGTAGCAGAAAGGGGATGAGCCGAATCAGCGCTTCAGTGTATCATCTCCTCTGTGCACTCTTGGGCATAAAGTTATACCAGTGTTGTCTTCAAGTCGTCATTCTCAAGTCCAAGTCGAGTCTCAAGTCACTACAATTCAAGTCTCAAGTCGAGTCTCAAGTCTTAATTTTAAAAATGTCAAGTCACTTTTGTACAAGCCATCAGTATCGGCATTTTTGGACAATTTTTTCACCAAGTCGATTTAACAAAATTAGCAAGTCTCAAGTCGAATCTCAAGTCACAAACAATGAACCCGAGTCGAGTCTCAAGTCGAGTCACGTAGTCTTAAGTCGGACTCGAGTTCAAGTTGTGGGACTCGAGTCAACAACTCTGGTAGGGACACCACTGTTCACCTTTCTTTTGGGGCAATTGCATCCAGGGGCAAGAATAGGACAGCAAGTACAAGGTGATATAATTACAGTTCTGTGTATGTGTGAGAATATGGCCCAAGCTTTGGTCATATTATAGGTTCCATCCAGGGGCAAGGATACGACAGCAAGTACAAGGAGATATAATTACAGTTCTGTGTATGTGTGAGAATATGGCCCAAGCTTTGGTCATATTATAGTTGGTACTTTGATTATGAAAAAATTATCATTTAGACCACCACACTTGTGAAGCTACCAAAGAAGGGTGGAGGAAAACAGCCTTAATAAATGAATTTCTTGTAATATTGTCTCCATTCATATCCAAGCTTTAGTATAAAATGTAACAAAAAGTCAGATTATTGTGAATGATTAAGTTCGTTTAAACATACTGTATATACCATGGCTTTAGTAAAGCCGGATTCTTATATTTGCAAAAGGGAGTCATTATTGACTCCATAGATAGGGAAAAACTGATTGGCAATGGCATTGTCAGGCATCAAGTCTCAGCCCATTTTAAAGAGAACTGCCTTGTCCAAGAAGCTTAGGAACAGCAGAGTAAGAAGGAAAGTGCACACAGCATCATGCACAGCAGTTGTGTTTTCTGCAAGCATGTTATATTCTCTCTGTCTCTAAATATACATAAAATATATTCTCTATCTCTAAATATAAGTAAAATGTGGAAAAACTGCAGAGGATGGATTGGTTTCCCCAACCATCAATGACTTTCCCCAGCACACATCTTCCTTGTATAGGAAGCAGCTACTATTTAAAAAACAAGCTAGTTTTACAACTTGGAGCAGTTGTCAGTGAGCAACACTGCTTCATATTCTCTGTACTTGAACATTCAAAAAGTTACAATGGAGCAAAGAGTCCAAGATTTAGCAGTTTGCTGATAAAGTTTACATGGTGACAAACCATCTAAAGTGCTTGCTGGACTGTGCAGTTAGCATGGCGGAGAATTTTCTTGTTAAAGATGGCAAGTTGACAGTGAAATCCCCCTGGAAAAACAGTTCAAGCCTTGTTTAAAATGTGGTGTTCCATCTTGACAAACACATTTGGGAGAGGAGAAGGGAAGACACATATATATCTGACTGCAGTTGTTCCTGACGGCTTAACATATCGAGGTGGAGATATCCAAGTGCTCTTGAAGATTTCTAGGGTTAGTCATAAAGACTCTCCATTAATTAAGTAGAGTAACATTTTTGCATAATCTTCTGACAATGTAAATATTATGCAAATGTCATTTTGTTTATAAGTTCCTGGAAAATGGAAATACAGGAAAGACAAAGCTTGTATTATCTAGAGCACTTTAATATGACCTTTAAGTAAATTAACAGCTGCCTTAAAAAGTGATCATTCACGTAAGAACTGCAAATTCATTTCTTCAGTGGTATTTGTAACCCTTTTGTGTACTTCTCATGGATACTTGAAGCATATCTTCCTTTGCAAGAATGCTCAGGGAAAATGTTCTACCCCCTACGCAAATACATAGTTGTGGGACAATTCAGACCTGACGTGTTCAACAGCCATCCTGAAAGCTCTTTCTGGCTTTGGAGTCATTCCTCAGTGAGCAGACAAAATACCCACAATGTGAATAGGTGACTACATCATCAAGGCTAGAACTAACATATAACAGCTTTCTCTTGTAGTATTTTTGAGTAGTTGGCTTCTGGTCACAGCTAAAAGTTCAGATGCTCAGGATGATGAAAAGTGCAGGTGGGTTACAAGTGGTGGGGATTTGACCTTCAAAAAGGATTACGTTTAAGTGTAATGGGAAACTTCTGGGGTTTATTTTATGTGTTTTATGAATTTTCTAGTTTTGAAATGATAGCATTCAATCAATTCAGCAGTGAACAGACTTGTACCATACTACAAAATTGGTTGGCTATTATATCTGACCTTCAGACTTAACAGAGGAGAAATGGAGTGTACCTAGAAAGCTGTTTCACCTCACAGCTGAGATGTTAACTCTACAAAAATGCCAGTTAAAAGAGGAAGCATGATTCAGATATTTCTCCTCTACTGTATAGCTTTTGGGAAAAATATGTACCTCTCAACTCAACTCAACTTAGCTCTGATCTTCTAGGGCTATTTTAGCCATTACCTTACTGTGAGGCAATCAAACCAGAGCCAAGGAGTGACAAGAAAAAAGAATACGGAATGTCTGTGTAATCATAAATGAAGTCAGTGTTTTATGGATGAAGATCTGCCCCAGAATGACTGAAATTAACATTTCAATAAGATTGAAGATCCTTGGGATAAACAGCATGCTATTACTTTCATGCAAATGGAGGATTCCATGCTGAATGCAGTCTAATGTTTACAGTAAAAATAAACAGCTAGAAATAGCAAAAGGGGGTCTAAATGGCTGTGTTTTAAAGAAGACATTATGAGCTGGAGCAAACCAACCATATTAGAGCACTTTTATATCCTATACCATTTTCAACTCCACTGTAATTAGTACATTAAGGTCATATTTTATAGCATTTAATGAAGTGAAGAAACTTGAGTGACAGCTGTTCGGTAAAGAAACGGAGTCACATTATTTCCTTTACTACTTCGTTCAGTAAAGTTACATTTTTCTTTCTCATATTAAACCTTTAATTCTTAATAAGCCGTCTCATTTAATAAAAACTCAGAATACTTGGTGCACTAAAAATGCAGGAGTACATAAATAAAGGAATTATCTACAAGGAATTCATGTTGATCAGACTTCATCAGTCTGGCTGCTAAAGAAAATCAAGAAGCTTGGTTTGTAATTGAATTTCAGAAACTGTGGAAATATATGAATAAAACAACCCTTTCTTTTTCGTTGAGTATTTCTTTTTCAAACATTTTAAAAAAATTGTTTTCTTTGTGAGCAATAAGTGGAGCTCTAACCCACACACCTGCTAGATGTGGTGTTCTGTCCCATTTAGTGGGGCCAAACCACTTAAGTTATGTCTACATTGTGGCACTATTTCGGGATACCGAAAGTATCCCAAAATAGCTATTTCCATATCCATTGAAGCAGCCCGTTATTTCGAAATAGATTTAGAAATAACAGGCAACTTATTCCGACTTTCTGGTAACTCTCATTTCATGAGGGTTAAGGGGCATTTCGGAATAGCACTTTATTTTGAAATTTTATGAAATAAGCTATTTTGTAATAAACTGGAAATAAGCTACACAATTTGCGTAGCGCAAATTGCATAGTTTATTTAGAGCTAACAGTGCTGTTTAAATGCACCCTTAGGGTATGTCTACACTACAGCACTAATTCGAACTAACTTAATTCGAATTAGTTAATTCGAACTAAGCTAATTCGAACTAACGCATCTAGAACTAAAAACTAGTTAGAATTAGCATGTCCACATTGAGTGGACCCTGAACCGAGGTTAAAGCTGGTCGGAAGCAGTGCCGGCAGGGCATAAGATTAGGACTTAGAGCGTGGAGCTGCTGTCTCAGGCTAGCCGAGGGCTGTGCTTAAAGGGACCCGACCCCCACTCCGGAAAGACAGTTCTCAGGGGTTCCCCGCTCGCTTGTCTAACTCGATGAAAGACAGCAAAGCAGTCCTGGCTTGTAGTGCCCTGAATGCCCACACTCGGCACATCACAGCACTCGGACATCAGCCCGGCTGCACTTGCCGCAGGCTGCCATCCGAGGGGGGGGGGTCAATCGGGGGGCTGCAGGAGAGCTTCCATCCCGAGGAGCCCGCAGAGCCAGCCCAGTCCTCCCCATCAGGGGCTTGTACCCCATTCCTCCCTCACCTCCTTCCACTTACCCTCCACTCGC